TCAATCCCCTGCCCTACCTCAAATATCCAGAGAGAGAGGACCTGCACCCAGAAGTGATTCAGCAAAATGCAGCTCTCCCTCCGGGCCCGTTGTGGTCCTTCACCGCCCCTTTCGCCTGAGTGGGAGCAGGTGTGTGCACAGAGATGGGGTGGCCACCTTTCCTGCTTTGATGCCTCTGATCCAGCTCTTTCCCAATCGGGACAGTCAAATCAGTCTGTTTCCAGCCCCTGTCAGTTTCACATTTTGCATCCATAAATCCATTTCACCCCGACAGCATCAGAGTGCTATTTTTTACTTTGGAAAGATCCACATGAAAATCCAAATTCAAAAACGTCTTCAAGCAAGAGCACATTTCTAAATGCATTTCTCTCAAAGCGTTATTTCTAAATATATTTCTCCTGCAGTACATATTTTCATGCACAGCTCAGTATGGTGTTTGAGCCAAGAACTGCACCAAAATGAATGAAAAAACTGAATAAAAGAGAAGGATGAAATTTAAACAATCTGTGTTCCAGTTTGTGCATTCGTCCAAGGAGCTACCGATCACATTGAGTCACTAAAAATGTAGGGCATACAAAACCCTGGAACATCCCAACTGCTAACCAGTGGAGGAAACATCTGGACCGTTAACCAGCAACACTCCCTGCAGAAAAGGGATAACTTGCCATCATACCAAAGAACCAAAGATTTTCCACTGCAACCGACTGCTTGAGAAATACACACTTGCCTTACAGCAAGTCTTCTCCATCCTTTCCTTACGTCAGTCTGGAGTAAGTTTGGTAAGAAGCTTACTTTAATGCAAACTAATTAATCAGCTAGTTCATTCACGCTTCCTGAACCTACACAAACTGGAGCACAGTTACATTCGTATAGTTGTGTCCTACTCTTCTGCTTTCAAGGAACTCTAGGAGGCTGACATAGTGCTGCTCCTCCCCATTTTATCTGAGCAACAACCCTGCAAGGTAGGCTAGGCTGAGAGGCAGTTTGACTGGCCCACACCTGCCCCGGGAGCTTCAGGGCTGAGAGGGGACCGGAGCCCAAACAGCCACGATGGAGCCCAGCTGAGCATGACACCACGCAGACTCTCTCGTGCGCCGTTGCCATTTCCTGAATGTTCCAGTGGAGACGTCCTTGAATGCTCCTCAGAGAGGGAGTGGGAACAGTCTGGGGGTGCGCCTTGATCCGGAGCTGTCCCTGGAATCCAAGAGGACGGCGGTGGTGAAGAGTGCCTTTCTCCAGCTTCAGCTGGTCTACCAGCTGCGCCTTCACCTGGATGAGCGATGCCTCGGAACAGTGACCCACACGATGGAAACTTCCCGACTGGATTATTGTAGCGGGCTCTGTGTGGGGCTGCCCTTGAAGACGGTCCAGATGCTTCAGTCGGTTCAGAACAGAGCTGCCAGGCTACTAATGGGGACTGGCAGGTTTTCACACATAACGCTGGTCCTCTGTCGCTCACACTGGGTTCCAATTGTGCCCTCCCGCCCCTTGGGGTCCGAGGCAGAGACCCTCCTTGAAGGAGATTAGGAGGGTGGCTACCCGGAGAAGCCCCTTCTCTGCAGTGGAACCCCAAGTGTGGGACACGCTCCCCAGAGAGGTCCGCCTGGTGCCGACCCTTCTTTCCTTTCGGCATCAGGTGAAAGCCTTATTATTCTCCCAATATTTTAATTGTTAACCTGTTTTAATTGGTGGTTTTATATTTAACATCGGATGCTGTGCAACTCTTATTTCTATTTTTATTCAATTGTATTAATCTGTTGTAAACCATCCCGAGATGTCTGTGAAGGGACGGTATAGAAAAGTTTTAAATAAATAAAATAATAAATAAACTGCCAGAGATGAAGCACAGCACAGCATGGCCCACCAGGAGGCTCAGAGGAGCCGGGGCCCTCGGGGCGAGTGGCCCCAAGTCTACCCTGGCAAGAGGAGAATAGCTTCTTTGAGACAGAGGCAGTGACCCCTGAGGGGGCCAGCATCTTGAGAGGCAGGCCAGAAGAGTCCCTGTGAGGACAGGTGCCCCTTTAAGAAGAAGGTCCTGCCTTGGTGGAACCCTTCTCAGAAAGAAACCTTCTTTCACGAGCGTCTGAACCCACACCCCTGCAATGTGGGCGAGGCTTTGGGAGCTCCAGTGTACAAGCCTTCAGTTCATTTTTGCTAGCTGCTGGAACAACCCCTTTCCTCTGCTCCTAGCAGCCAGCTTCTTGCCTGGACTGATCTCTGGCACTGCTGACCCTGGACCCTTGCACTGTGCGTGGTTTGGACTGCTCCCCTACACTTATTTTAACTTAATATATTTGTATTTTAACTTAATGTTGTAAGCCGCCCTGAGGCTTCTGCGAATGGGGTGGCATAAAAATGTCTTAATAAATAAATAAATAAATAAAATCCTCAGCTCGATCACAGATGCCCTCTCATCCTGACAGGTAGCACCGCATTTCTGGCCTCTGCTTGCTGTTTGACCCTAGCACATGGCTAAGCAGGGCAGGACTCTGCTCCCTGAGACATCCAAATGCTGCTACTAGCAACAACTGTGAAAAAGCATGGGTGAACATTAGAGGGAAGAGATGCAGGTGGCGCAGTGGGTTAAACTGCTGTGCTGGTTGATCGAAAGGTCGCCGGTTCGAATCTGCACAACGGGGTGAGTTCCCGTTGCTCCGTCCCAGCTCCTGCCAACCTTGCAGTTCGAAAGCATGCAAATGCAAGTAGATAAAAAGGCGCCACTTCGGTGGGCAGGGAACAGCGTTCCGTGCACCTCGGTGCCTAGTCATGCCGGCCACACGAGCACGGAGACTGTCTGCAGACAAACGCTGGCTCCCTCGGCCAGGAAACGGAGATGAGCACCACCCCCGAGAGTCAGGCATGACTGGACTTAATGTCAAGGGGAACCCTTTACCTTTACATTAGAGGGAATGCTAATGCACTGTACTGGGGGAAGTGGCTTTTCCAAAATGCTGATACACGGGTGAAAAGACATCCAATGTTTTGTCCAGAGTTGGAAAAACAAATGAGGCAAGCCCAAGCAAAATCAAAGTGGGCAAATTTCTCCTTCCCTGCGCGACAAGTTCAAGATCTATGTGATGTTATGTATAGCACAAGGAGACATGATGCTGAGATTGTATCAGCTGAAGAAGTCCTGCAGTGGGTTGCATAATAACCTGCTGTGCGGCGAGAAAGGAGCGTGTGATGATGGCACGAACAGGCAGCTTGCACAATGCTCGCTTTGGACCCACAGCCCTGCGAGGTCATCGTTGCTTTGTGTGCAACTCCACTTGGCACGGCTTGGCACGCGGCGCACAACCTGTTAATTGCTCATTACAATGACTGATGGGGAGCAGTAGTTGGAGGAGGATCAGTGCTTGTAGGGGACAAGAAGATGTGCTTAGGAGAGCCTCTTCTGCTGCACGTTCCTCACCCAGAGCTGAGAGGGTGACTTGGCGGGAGCATCTGCATCCAAGGTGAGGAACAACGAGGCAATTTAGCTTCGGAACAGTTTACGAGAGGGAAGGAGGTCAGGCCAGCATCCAAGTGCAAATCAACCTGATGGTGCACTGTGCTTGTGAGATGGAAGGAGAAGCTTGATGTGCCGGGTACAGGGCCTGTCAGTGTTGCAACCCAGAGCTCCACCGCTTAATTGGGTTACGAAGTCCCCGTACGAGGCAACACGATGCAAGTTCAGACAGAATTAAAGCTCTGTAGCTCCTGGCATGGCCCAGCCAGGTTGTAGGTCTTTTGCTGTGTCTAAACTTCCACTGGATTTCATCCTAAATGAGTTTGCTTTGCTCCCTCACCCTGGAACCAGCAAGGTTGCAGAATTAGAAGCACACTTTGGGCTTGCTAAACAACATGTTTTTCATATCCAGAATGTTTCCAGGTTGTGTATGTTTCCCCATGTAAGGAAAATTGCAGCTTCAGGTGAGCTTTTAAAAATTAGGGTCTGGGTGAAAATGGCAAGGAGAGAGTGACGAAGCCGCTCCATTCTTCGGCACTGCAGTATCCCGTCTCTGTCTCCTCCACCCACCTCCTGCTGGGCTGATATTAAGTTTGGGTCAGGGTCCATCTAGCCTCACGCCCAGTTTGGCCTTTCTCCTCCTTTCTCCAGTTTAGAAAAGTAATGTAATAATAATAGAAATGATGTAAAAGGAAAGTTGGGGAGGAGGGTAGAGGAGAAAACAACACAGGTACCTATTTTTCAAGTGAAATAGAATTCATTATAGCAATGACTAGCTGGAATGGAAAGTGCTCTGGGAGAGAAAGCGTCCAATGGAGGTGCCCTTTCGTAGCCCTTCCCTGATCTCTCTCTGCTGGAGCTCGATAGAATGGCTGCTGCCAAAGAGCAGGGCCTGTTGGGAGATTCGCAAGACATGGCTCATCATCTTGAATCCAGACCCTGGGACTGGTGAGGAAAACGAGAGTGTAAGTAAGCGACTTCTGGGCAGGGGTAAGAATATCTCTCCTCCCTCCCCAGAAGAGGTGCCTAGCAAAATAAGTTGCTTGCTGCAGAAATGCAGACTGACTCTCTGCCCAGGAAATACTTGCCCAATCGATTCATTGCAATCAAGCCTTTTAAAACGGTTTGTTCTTTAAATGTTGACATCTGTCTCATACACGGTCTGCAGCTTCTCCAGGCCTCTTACAGACACAACTTTGTGGTTTTCTAGAAACGTGCAAAGGGGAGAATCTTGTGCAGTGCAACTTCTCAGCCTCATGGGAGAAAAAGTATGCCCAAATTTACGAGTGTTAGGGGCGAAGGAGCTGTTGCATGTTGTACCCATCAGAGACCACCCAAAGTCTATTCGCAGCAACCAGCGTGCCGTATTTATCTGGATAGTTTTGGCATAGTGTGTTCTGCTTTCATTCTTCTGCAATTACAAGCACTTCTCAGAGCTTTGTATCTTTACCTAAAAAAAGACAGGGGAGAAGCTTGCTGCAGCACCCCAGCTAGGGATGCCTTGGTAACATTATTTTCTCTCACAAAATAAGAAGATGTATCAACACAGAACTGGTGGTGGGTGGTTGTGTTTATGAAGAATGGCTGGATAAAATTATGTAATCCGAAAAACAGCCCAACGTGGGCAAGTTTAGTTCCTTCAGCAAGCATGGCACCTCTATTTGTCTGCTTCTCTTCAGCGTCATTTACACCCCTGGCTCACTGCTGCTTTTTCCATCGCCCAGCACTGCTGAGCACCAAGGCCTGCTTCTCAGACTCACAGAGGTCTTTTCAAGAAGCAGTAATATCCCAAGGGATACTGGAGAGAACACACATCAGCACCGAGTGTCTTCAGCCAAGTGGCACAGGAGGGGCCCCTTCAACCTCCGAGCTGGCCTGGAATTAATGAAGGAGGTAGATTAATCAAGGGTGAAATTAATGTCAATCAACTAAATAAGTTCCCCTGGTTAACTTACCAGCAACAGTGAAGTTGTGCATGTGTTAAAGTATCAGTATTTATAAAATTGGACTGGAACTTCCACCAGGCAAGAGGTGCTCCATCCTCCATGTAGGAGAAAGAATACCCTTTCCAGAATTGAAAAAGATGCATGCAGTATCTAGACCAGGGGTCTCAAACTCGCGGCCCGCGGGCCAATTGCGGGGACAGGCGGGGCAGGGGGAGGGGCCCTGCGGCCTTCAAAGTGCCGACGGTGCCTGGGCCAGTGGCGGGATGAGCGGCCCACCACCACCGCGGTGGTGGAATACTTGATGCGGCCCAGCCTCACCCAGACTCTACTTCCAGCGGCCCCCAGGGAAGTTGAGTTTGAGACCTCTGATCTGGATTAAAGTGTGCATCCTTTTCTTCCTCTTCATACGAATGTTTTATCCTCTCAAATGTGATGCTATCTTGGCATTATTTTGATACAAGGCCCGGGAAGGCCTTATCTCAGTGGGGATACCTCCTTCTTGGCATGCAGGTTCAACTCTTGCCATTTCCAGCCAGCACAGAATGATGGGAGTTGCACAGGTGGAGGGCACTGGGTTGGGGAAGCCTGGTGAAAAGGCTACTGGGCTGGAAGGACCAGTGCTGCGGCTGCAGATGAGGCAGCCTCCTAGGGTAGCTATGGAAACACCGCCATCATCGCCTGTTGTCCCGTCCAGGGGCGGAAGGGCCGTCCCAAGGGCCCCGCTCGGCTCTCGCCCAGCCTGTTGTGGTTCGTTAGCTTTAAACTGGGCTCGGACCGCTTGGAGACCCCTTCTATTGAGGGCGCTTCACCTGGGGCACAAACCTGTGTACGTTTAGACCGGAAAAGGCATCCTACTCCCGGCACGCTGCAGCCTGCCATGTGGGGAGACGAAGGCCTTTGTCCTGAACTTGCCTAGGCGTGCACCTTTCCACCACCCGGAAGTGGCAGGCCAACCCTGCTGGCTCTGCCCCCCCAGAGCCCTACTGAGTGGCCCTCGGCACTCGCCCAGGGTCCTGTCCTACCGGCACCACTGCTTGCAGCCGCTTGGCAAGGGCAGGGTGCTCAGTGGGAAGAGGAGCTTTTTCTGGGTGCCTTCGTGCATTCCGTGTAATGCTAATTCTGGTCCCGGTGCTGCTCTGCACCTCCCCTCCCCTCCCCTCCCCTCCCCTCTCCTCTTTATTGTTCAGAGGGGCAAAGCAGCCGCATTCAGTGCATCCAGACACCAAACCTCGCATCTGTTTGGCCCAAAGGGTGCAATCCCGACTAGGCAGTAAGTCAACTTAATGGGACTTGCTCCCAAGTAAACAGTGCTTGGACCACATTGCTCTTTGCAAGTAAAGCAGGCCAGAGGACAGGGAGATGGGTTCAAGCCAAGTGCTCTTCCTGCGGCAATCGTTTTCTGCTTGCAGTGAATCTGGCGTGCAGAGAGCGAGTCCAAAACTGTGGCTCTCCACCATATGCTACCCGCTTGCAGTTTGAAGCAGCACTCTCAGTTTTATTTATTTATCCGCATATTTATATGCCACCTATACTGGCCAAATGGCCTCCCTGGCTGGCTCACATAATATGAATCTGCTACCTCGATCTTGTTGAGTGTTGGACTGGGATGAGGGCAATCCGGGTTCTAGCCCCCATTTGGCCTCAAAAGCTCCCTGGACCAGCCACCAACTCTCAGCCTCACAGGGTTGTTGTGCAGATAAAGCTGGAGAGGAGGAGGATTCTGTCAGCTACCTTGAAGGGAAAAGGCAGGATATGAATAGAACAAACAAAGGTTGTGATAACATTCTCATTTACCTGGACGTAAGTCCTGTAGATCTCAATAGGACTTAGCTCCAACTCACTCAATACAGGTAGGATCAGGCCAAGCAAAGGTTACGGGCTGGGTATCATTCTTGGCACCAGGTGAAGACCTCTATGTTTACCCCTAGGAAAGTCACTTTGATTATGGCTTTATCAGTTCTTCTGAATTATTATTATTGCTATTACTGTTTCCACGTTGTGTCCTTTTAATTTTTTAAATTTTATTTCATTTTAGCCATCCTCTCATTACAGCATAAACATAGCATACTAACACCAGTAACAAGGATAACATAAAATATACTCACATATCTAAATGCAGCCTGTCCATTATCCTTAATTCCATATCATACTATTATCTGAGCTTATTTGGGCAAAGACGCCATAGGTAATAATGTGGATTGTTGGCCTTTAAGTTTTTACGATAGATAATAATATGATAAGGGGTTAGATAACGGTACCTTGTGTCCCTCTGGTGCACGCTCCCCCACCCTGACACGAGTCAGGATCGGCCCATTCCAAGACCCGTTCCTTCTTGCGTGTGCATGGAGCCCTCGGGGCTTTTCCTCAAAGGCAGAACGGCGGGAACAAAAGGGCCCGCGCCGGCCCAAGCAAGCGGCCTCGCCGCCTGCACGGAGCAACAGGTGCCCGCCGTCCCCGGCTCGGGATCGCGCGCGGCAGCCCCGGCGGGCCCTGGAGCGGCGCAGCTGCTCGCGCTCGGGGTGCGCGCAAGGGCTGGGAGGGGCGCACGCCGCGGGGCCTCGGCCGCCCCCTCCTCGCGCTTAAATACCGGAGGAATGCCTGCCGGCGGGACAGCTGTAGCCACGAGGCCGCTGCTCTCTCCTCTCCTCTCCTCTCCTCGCCGCGCTCCGGATCGCTGCTATTTTTGACCAGCGCTCTTCTGGTTGACCTTCCCATTGGCTCGGGACAAGGGTCCGAGAACTGGTTAAGGGGGGAATCCTTTCGTCTTTAGCTCCTGGGAGGCAGCATGAAATCTAAGGAGCTGCGAGACGGTGGCGAAAATGGTAAGTAGGCTTGCCTGGCACCCCCCCCGTCTCCCCCCCCCCCCCGGTGCCTCCTTCAGCAATCCGCGGGGCTGCAGAGAAAAGTCTGTGCATGTGGAGTGAAGGTGCCGGCTGGGTGGAACTCGCAGGTTGCCGGGAATATGGGAGGAATCGCTGAAGAAGCGCCTGCTTGCGTGGCGTGTGCCAATTTATGTGCATAGATGCCAGCTTAGAAATGCAGGCTAGAATGGACGTGGGAATGCAGCCCATCTCACTAGAGCGGGTTACACTGTGCCCAGGAGTGTCCGCACCATCTGAGGTCCATCCATGCACGCACCGCGGGGGAGGCAGCCTCAGGGACCTGGCTGCCCTCCCTTCTTAGGGTCCTTGAGCGTTATACCAGAGCCACAACTGTACCGCCCTTTCCATAGAGGTTTGTTCTCTGGCAGTATTTTGAATAGAGGACTCTTCCCTCCAAAGCAGGACACCTGGCGAGCCTACTTGTAAAGCTACAGCTTTAAGAGATCTAAGAAATAGCAGAAAGGGGTCCAAATCTTGTTTATGGTGAAGTCTCTTTAGAAATCTTCTACATGGGAAAGGGAGTGAGAATAAGCCATGATTAATCTCTAATTTTTAAGTCTTTTGCTCATGCAATGAAATTGTACGAGTCGATCCAAAATCATGCAGGTGGTATTTCACTGTTCTAAATTAACATGTTCATTAGAGGCATCTGGAGGCATGCAAGCATCTAACATATGTAATGCTATATACACTTACAGCATGATGTTGGTGAACCTAAAACATCCAACCAAAGATTACCAGCTAGAATTCTTTATCATGCCATTTTTATTTGCATGCTTTCTTTTCACGGATTCTGTAAATCTTGCCTATTCCAAGATTCATCCAATTCTATCAGCAAAAACAGTGCAGTCTCTCCCACTGAAACTGAACTTTCATGATCAGGAGTTAAAACTTGCAATGATGCAATGAAATCTCTGAAGCAAAGGATTCTGGGATGCAAGAGATTTGTGACCAGGTCTCCTGACTTTTTAAAGGTTTGGGCAGGAAGGTGTCTATAGTTTTATTTAACCCTGTTAGTTTGGACAGTTTTCCTAACTGAAATCCCATATTATTGACTTTGCAGATTTATACCCATAGTGTACCTGCCTCCCCACCCGCTCCAAGGTTAGCTAATAGCATTAAAGGCTGCGGCCTTCCCTATCTTGAGGGCCTTGAGATGTGCTGGACTACAACTCCCAGAATGCCTCAGGTTGGGAAGGCTTGAGGAACAGTGTTGTAAGTGTGCCAGAGCTGTCAGGGTTGAGGCACTGGGACTGTTTTGAGTAGCAGGAATGCTGAGCTAATCTGCCACACCCCAAAGCTTCCCTGGATTGCGTTGTCAGGGCCGTTGAATTAATTGGAGAAAAAGTGCAGACAGTAGGATTGCAATGGTCATGTTTTTACTCCTAAAAATGAGGAGCAGATTGTGGATCTTTTGTGTCACTTCTGTTTCAGCCTTTGTGCCTTAGATTGCTGGCTGGGCTTCAGCTAGTTCGTGTGATCAGATGTGAAGGAAAAGGACCCTTCTGTGGTTGTGTTGAAGGTAGAATTTCAGCAAGTGCAGGTTTTTTCCCTTGTCTCTTCTGGCTTAGTTGCACCTGCTATTCTTCCTTGCCTTGCCATACTGTCTTGCTGTTCTAGTTTCTTTGTACCTTTTATACACTGTGTTGTTGTTAACCTGCAGGAACCCTGAATAGGCTATCTCATTAGATGTCCCATCCCTTGATTTTCTTTTTTCTTGTCCCCACTGACACTTAGCATTTTGCAGCAAGGGGTCTGCTGAAGTCTCCCTAGGCTTTGCTGGGAGTCCGTTGCCCCTTAAGATTTCCTTTAAAGTATGTTTGTTTGTACTGCCACAAAATTTGGGAGTGCTCTCAAGTGTGCCAAAACTTTGCTCTTGTTTTTCAACCCATCTGCTTTGGCCCATTTCTGTCTGCACTAGTGGTCTGAGTTTGTTATTAGAAGGAGTGATAATTTGAGCATAAGTGGCTGTTTGAATGCCAATAAACCCCCGCTGCTAGGAATGAAAAGCACAGATTTTCACAAATATGCAGCTAATATCCGATGCCAGGCTTACAAAGGATGAAGCGTGGACAACAATTGCCAGCAGTCCCCAAAAGTTTGACTGCTCCTCCAAACACACACACAGATAGTGTTTTCTTCTACATAAGGAGTACCTCCTAAAACTTGTTCTTCTTCTCTCAGAACTAAGTTTGGGCAGCTTAACACGAAAGTGTCTTATAAAAACTTTACCTTAAAAAGCAGAGTTCGGTGTTTTAGCACGTGTACCCTTAGGGTTGTTTACCCAAATTAGGTCAGGATAATCTGCTGAAATGGCAAATCAGCCTTGCAACGAAACCTCCCAACTTCTGTCCTTGTGAGCAGAAAAGAAGTTTGCTCTCAGAACTACAAATAAATTTATGTAACCCAGTTTAAAGCTCTACAAAATGCTCTGGTGCTAAGAGGATTGCTCTACTTAATGTGCAAGATGAAAATACCTTTTTTCCTGAAGGTCAGCAACACTCAACGCACAGATCTCCGGAAGAGTAAAATAAAATAAAAAACTTGTAATGGAAGGAGTTTTAAGAAGGGGAGTAGTTCGTTCTTGTTCCATGCCTTGTTTTCTGCTTGGCATTGCACACTAGCTTACATAAGCAAGCTTTCTGCCTGCAAAAGCTGCATTGGCTCTGCAGAAAGAAAGGGGAAAGAAAACTACAAATCTGAGCAAATAAATGAGGTTTCTTTTGGCCATGGCAATGATACTGTCCACCAAAGCGAACTGAAACAAACAAGTAGGAAAAGAACAAGCCAAAAGAACATGCCAAACCCCTGCTGGTTCAGACCAGAGGGTCATCTAGCCAACATCCAGTTTCCAATAGTGGGTAGCCAATACTTTAAGAGCTCGGAAGCAGGTATGAAAACAACCATTGGTATTCAGAGGTAAATTGCCTTTGCACGTGAAGATCACATTTCCTTATGCATTTATTGGTTTAAAGCATTTTTAGCCAAAGAAGCTCCTAAAGCAGCTTGCATAGCATCAGTGAAAAAAAAGGCCCTGCCAGGAGGTTGCAGTCTAAAAGGAAATGACACAAAAGGAAATGGGATGAGGAAAAAGCAAACTGGCCTACTGCCCAGCTCACCTCAAATAGCTGCTAGCTTCTGGCAGTCAGACACGTATGCCCTGAATCTACCTGACCTCATACAAGGATGTGATGGCTGCTTTGGTGGATCAGGCAAAAGGCCCACCTTGTTCAGCGCCCTGTGTCTAACTGTGGCCAGCTCTCAGGCTTCCCTAACCTGGTGCCTTCCCGATGTTCTGACTACAACTCCCATCATCCCTGACCATGCTGAGTAGGGATGATGTGAGTTGTAATCCAGAATACGTGGGAAGGGCTGATGGACGGAAGGCAGTTGCCCAGTACTTTCTTATTCATCTCCCCACACCCAGTGCCAGCAAGAAGCATTCAGTGGTATCTTGCTTGCCTCCACATGGAGTTGTTCTGTTTAACTATCTTAGCTAACAATCACAGATAGGCTTCCCCAGTGCAGGTTTTCGTCACTTCCCATCCCAACCATCTCAGCCAAGGGTCATCGGCTACCATGAGAAACATATGAGATGCTGGCAGTTCACCTCTGGAAAGTATTAGCTTACTATGAGTCCAGATGGTATCTCAAGTCAGGAATGGCAGGTGAGAATGTCATTTAATTTCATTTAACCCGGAGAAGGGCCTTCTCTGCGGTGGCACCCCAATTGTGGAATTCACTCTGCAGAGAGGTTTTCCTGGTGTCATCACTTTATTCTTTTCAGCACCAGCCCAAAACCTTTTTATTTTCCCAATGGTTTAAGACCTGAGTGTTTTATTGGGGTTTTATTATTAGTTAAACTTTAGGACACTGTGTTTAAAAAAAAATACATCTTGTATTGTTAAACCGAAGACTTCGGTAATGGTACAGTCTACAAAAGTTTTAAATAATTTAGGATTTGGTAAGAATTTTTGAAAAAGTGCATCTGTCCTTAGATTTGAGATGGAAAGAAGTAAGATTTAAAAAATTCATATTTGGGAGAACTGAAGCTGACAGATTCACCTACCCAGGCAGTGGAATGTGAGTGCTTAGCTTTCCAAAGTCTGGATTTGAATCCCTGTGTGTTTCATGAGGTTGGGGGTGAATTAGATACTGGGAGGGTCTCTTTTGCATTTGGCTTCTCATTGTTAGTAACTATATTGCTGGCAGGAGTCAGCCAACACCATATGATCTTTTCCATGCTTGGAAAGCGGTAAGCCGTGCAGATGTGTGAGAATTTCAGTTTGGTGTTGATTGGAATTGACTGGACGTTGCCTATTTTGTCCTATTTAGGGCAGAAAGAACTTGAGATTTAAAAGATCAAATGTTAGAGTCAGCAAAACTGGCAGATCTGTCTGTCCCTAACAAAAAGCTCTCCAAACCGGAGACAACATCTAGGTAAGCACAGGATGCATTTTGCTTTGGATTTTGACAGGTTCTGTCCCAAAGCGCCCCATTCATTCATCGAGATAAGGCTCAGGCTACAGTAGGATGGAAAGACACGCAAAGGCT